ATCTTCTGGTTAGCAGTCTAATACCTTAGGCATTGCACAATCGCTAACTCTGAGTTTGCGATGACACAGTATCATCTACATATAGACTCAGCCCCAACTCTCTGAGTTTACCTCCCTGAAAATTCTGTTAAAAAAAAAAAAAAAAGTTTTCTTTAATAACCTGCGACCTAACAGGGTCACCTCTTGAGTATTTTTAACAAAAAGGGCTCTTGTTGTTAGTTGCCATCAAATCAATTCCAACTTATGGTGACCCCAGGGTGCAGAGCAGAACTGCCCCACAGGGTTCTCAAGGCTGGGACCTTTTGGAAGCAGATTGCCAGGCCTGTTTTCTAAGGCACCTCTTGTTGGGTTTTAACTACCAACCTTGTACCACCCAGGATCTCCTACAGAAAGGACAAAAAGAGATCACACTTGTTTATTTGAAAATAAAAATACTATTTGGGAATATTTTATGCTTTAGAATATCTTAAGTAGAAAGGACTAGTGATTAAGATATTCTAAAGTATAAAATTTTCCTAAATGGTATTTTTATTTTCAAATGAATGAATGTGATCTCTTTTTGTGGTGGGCTTACCTCCTAATAATGCAGGCACTGTTGAGGTTAGGATTTAAGACAAGGTATTTCCTCAGCAAAGGCTACCAGGGCAGGAGAATGGAGATCCCGGGAGACAGAAATAGAAAGTTGGCTCAGGACTAAGAATGAGCTGTGACTAATCCATCAAATACGAAATCCACAGGTAGACAATATTTTACAAAATGCCCACAGGATGCTTCTCTGGTCTTTTAGGTCTGAATAAATATTTCCATAACATATTGCTTTGTTTAGAATTTACTTTTTCTTTTACAACAAAGAGGATTGTGCAAAAATGCTAAAGTGATCTTTTATGCTTTTAAATTACTATCAAAGTCTGCACCTACATGGTCAGAATCCATCACAAAACCAGACAATTGTAAGTTACCTTGGATACCAGGCTGGCTCTGTATGCTGCTAGTTGCTTCAGGTACTCCTTCTTTGCAGCCTCGGTTTTCTTTTTATAGACCTGTAACAACAACAAAGAGTCTTAAATTAGAAAGTGCATCTGCTTTTGTTTTCAGAGAGGTGCAATGCAGAATGATAATCTCTCTCTCTCTCTCACACACACACATACACACTTATATAATAAAACATATCTCCTCAAAGAGTCTGCTTTCTTAAAGTCCAGTGGAAGCCATCACTATACTGAAATAGCTTTTTAAGAGGTGTGTCAATAGACTAGATAAGAAGATGAACAGTAAAATTTTACATTTTACAGAAAGCATATGAGAAGATGCATATGTGGGTTACTTTGAGAGTGGAGGTAGTTGGCTTAGAAAGACAGCATTGAGGAAGGTTTCCAGGTAATCTACATATGAATAAAGAAGATATTCATATGTATATAATGGATAGATAATCCTACTCTCCCTCTCTCTCACTGCCCTGGAGTTGATCCAACTCATAGCAACTCCTCCTTGGGTTTCCCAGGTGCTATCACTACAGAAGGAGCTCTGGTAGCATAGTGCCTAAGGCACTTGACTGCTCACCAGAAGTCTGGTGGTTCAAATCCACCAGCCACTCCTCGGAAGGAAGGTTGGGCAATCCTACTTCCATAGTGATACTGCCTTGGAAACCCAAGGAGGGCTCGCTATGAGTCAGGGCCGACTCGACGGCAAACAACAACAACAACAACCTCACTACAGAAGTAGATTGCCCAACCTTCCTTCTGAGGAGTGGCTGAACCACTCCTTCTGGTTAGCAGTCAAATGCCTTAGACACTATGCCACAGAGTTCCTAGATAATCCTACAGAGCCTGCTATATAGGTTCCATGTCTTTCCATAAAAAACAAGGACAGAATTAAAAGAAGAGAAATTATGCTCAATATACAAATCAAAGTGGCAGTCATGGGGTTGGCAGGTTCATTCCTTTTTTAAAAAAAGTTTTGGAATTTGTAGTTTTCTCTGTATATCTGTATATTCAAACCCATCAGCTGCTCCATGGAAGGAAAATGGGGCAATCTACTTCCGTAGATAAAGATTTATGGAAACCCAATGGGGGTCACTATGAGTAGGAATGGACTTGCTGGCAGTGGGTTTGTTTTGGAGCTGGATACCCTAAGCTCAGGAATTGGGGACAAAGTCAAGGACCTCATTGGGAGTGAAATGGGAACCATAGTGGCTGAGGAGAGCACGTTATTTAGTGAGCCTGCTCTGATCCTGTTCTTCCAACAAAATCGTGTGTGACATGCATCTGTGAACACCTAATTTTGCAAATCTAAAAATCCTTCTGAAATGAATTTTAGTTTACAGAAGCTTTCATCTTTGAGAAGGAATCATCTTAAAAAGAAAAGTAAAATCATCTTAAATTGAGCAAAAGTACTGAAAGATGATTTGCGAGTATGTGATAAATTGCGTCGCTAAATTAAACAAAGGAGTCATTAGAGTCACTAATGAAAGATTAGTAAAGTGAATGCACATGGTCGTGGCCTACTAGTCAGTTAATTCTTTCAAGGCTTTCAAGTTTAATCTTTTGAAATCAGCCCTGAAAAACAAAATATTCTCCACCATTTCCTGGGTCAATCGAAATGTAATTTTTGTTGATGTAACTAGTCTGAATTTCCCACATCTTGAGTTTTACAGCAGGGAGTCAGGCTTGGCTAATAGTTTGCACTGAGAAGCTCAGAAAAACAGACACAGATCAGTATTGAAAAGTGGCTTTAGCATTAGTCACAGTAGTTAAATATAAACTATGTCTAAAGACCAAGTATGTGCCCAAGTTGGTAGCAGAGGCCAATTTATGGCTTATGAGGCTGATGGTGGTTTGCTGAGCACAGAATCCAAATGTGAAATGCAAGATGTGAAAATTATTATTTACTCATGAATATTTTAATTAAAGGAGAACATTTTATTTAAGGTAAACAAATATCTAACCTTGTCAACAGAATTATAATAACAGGACTCTATGAAATGAATGTGCTAATTATTCTTCTTTATGAGTCAGAATTGATTCAAGGGCAGTGGCCCTGGTTTTTCTTTTTTTGTTTTTTGGTTTTCAGTCTAGAGTTATATTTGGCATTTCAGTATAATAAAAGTCAATTAAAATCAGGCAGCTAAGAATTAGTCCAATATTATCATATAATCCATCATTGTACCATGGACATAACTAAAGAAACTTAAAAGTCTGTTTAGAAGTTTTTTAGTAAAATACAGCAAATAAGTTCTTCAAGTACTGTAGTCTTCTAAATTTTCTGAGCTATTATGGGAAGTCAAATTCAGATTTATTTTTGAAAATTCACACATAAACAGACGAATGTTATAGCACAAAAAGTGCTCTTGGAAATGATGGGACTCTCTTCATCCAGAGCAAAGAAGAGTGAAGAAAACCAAAGACCCATGGAAACAATTAGTTCAAGCAACTGGTATGCCATGCAATCCTCAGCCTATACAACTATGAGACCAGAAGAACTAGATGGTGCCCAGCTACCACTGTCAACCACTCAGAGGAGGGATCTATGTAGGAGATCCTGGATAGAGTGAGAGAACAAAGTGCAACAAAACCCAAAATCATTAAAAAAAAAAAAAAAAAAAAAGGAGCAGGTTTGCTGGTCTGATAGAGCCTGATGGAACCACTAAGACTATGGCTCCTACCTGCCCTTCACGTCTGGAATTGAACCCACTCCTATGGCTTCCAGCCAAACAAAAGACAGGCATATGAGCTGAACATTTACATTAGGTGGATACACTCCTTGGAGAGAACAATCACGGGAGAACAGAAGGGTGTGTATGCACAGAGAGACAGCTCGAGGGCAGGAGTGCATGGGAGGGAAGGACACAGAAGAGGGGTCTGTGGGGAGGAAGTGGAAGGGGACATGTTGCATTGTGGTAAATTGCAGTCAATGGCATGAGACAAAGTGTATGTGAGCTGCTGTATGGAAAGTGAATTTTCTCTGTAAACATTCACCCAAATCACAATAAAAAAAAAGAAAAGAAAAAAAAAAGTGCCCTTGGACAGTGTGGTCTATGTATATTATTGGTTCATGTATATTGGTTCAGCCACAATCAGAAACATGGAATTTCCCTGCCTTTTATTGATTTCTTTTTTTCTTCAGAGACATATTTCTGTTTATATGTTTCCCTTAAACTTCTTTCTCTGAGACATAATTTATAATTAATGGTCTTAAACTGACAATGTATACATTTACTTTTAATGCCTTAAAATGGTTTCAAGAAGGTTTTTCTCCCACACAGATAAAATTCCTATTCATGACTGAAGCAAACATAACTTTGATCTTAATAAGTTTTTGTATAACCTAAGCATTTCTACCATGTTGTTTGTTATTAATGTTACTCCATGTGACACTCCCCCCCACTCATCTAACTAGGGTTCACTTAGCTTACAGACGCTTTTTTTTTTTTTTTTTGAAAATAACATAACAAAACATAAAACACTTTGGTCCCTCCCACTGTCCAAAGCATCATTTCTAGTTAGGAATAGAGAGACAGCATTACCAGAAGGCCTGATATAGCATCCAGAATCTTTCTTTCATTTGGTTTCTACTGAGACAGCTACAGTGTTCCATGCCATCTCTTTGTTGGGCTGCTAGTAGTTAACATCACACAAAGTGTTAGCTTTTCTGCAAATTGTTGATTAACATCCACAGGAGAAATGTAGCTAATTCAATGCATCTGGGGCTGAATCTGTGCCCCTTGGTTTCACTCAGGGATCGATGTTGTTAGGAGAGACCTGACTAGCACTCCAAGTCTCTGCTTTCCTCAAATGGCTCCCTACTGGCTAGGTGGCATCATCACATAAGTGCCTAAATAACACTTTAGAAAAGAGTAAACTCATCATGTCACATTGTGTGCAGATACATTATGTGGAGCGATGAATCTACTCTTTTCTGAATGGCTGCAAATGTTCCAAGGGGGATTTAAAGGGATTTCAGGAGGTATATTACTGTATTTTCATTTAAAGTGCAGTAGCCCAGATCAGAATTAAAATCCATGATAGCCTCTCCCCACCTGACAGCAAGCTAAACTCCCACCATTGAGAACTACTTAATGTCTACAGTATGATTCATCCTATGTCTTTCTCATGTTACCTTCTAAAAATGCACAAGGTTGTTGTTGTTATATGCCGTGGAGTTGGACCCAACTCATAGCGACTCCTCCTTGGGTTTCCGAGGCAGTATCACTACGGAAGTATATTGGCCCATCTTCCTTCCGAGGAGTGGCTGGTGGGTTTTAAATTC